AAACGGCTGTAACTCTGGTTGATCAAAATGTGGGGCAGCTTACACGCTCTTGTCCAACGCCACCAGACCGGTTGTAGGAACTTTTTCTTACAAAGGACCCTCCGATGATGCCGTCATGTGTATCTTGGTTGTCTTTTCCGATTAAATTCACGATAGCTGAATTCCAGCAGCTTAAGGTTGTTACATCTTAATTTGGAAATACACCGAATGTCCCACGAGACAGAGGGAGCTCCAGATCCTTTGAAAGTCCTGACTTACTGTCAGGTCCTATATCATCTTGAAGTACAGATACCTTGGTCTGTCTAGTTCACCCTCCCATGGCCCTCTCATTCTCACTGCAGGGGGACATTCCTCAATCCTCAGCCTTTGGCTTGCAGTAAATCTGCCTGGAAGAGACCCAGAACCCTCCGCCAGGCGCTACATGATGCTACCTCATTTCTTTTTTACTGTCCTGTGTCCTAAAGTTGCCTGAGTGTGATTTCAAGTCTGCAAGAGATAAACGTGCCTCGAGGTCAAGATGAGGTGAAGGTACAACTGTAAAAAGGTGTTAATGGGACAAGAGAAGAATCACTCCCTACCGGTGTCCTCATATCCCCTTCTAACTGAATGACTTATGACCTTTTCCATCACAGTAAATTAAAAAAAGATGTTCCTGGCAGCTTTCACGCTTTTTGTTCCTGCACACCTGTAGCTTACAACCGCTTTCAGAGCCAGTAATCCTTAGATGAACTTGTGCAGCAGAGCGGAACGTCAGCCACCACCTGCATGGACCTGCATTGGATTGTACCGTTTTTATTTCCTGGGATGTATGGAATCCATACCAGGAATTACATTTGAGAAAAGTCCAAAAGACTTGCAGAAAGAAGCCAAATGAAAAGTGTTTACTTCAAAAAAGAAAAGCAGCTTGATTCATTGTACTAATTAGAAAAATTACAGTGAATCTTTCATTTGAAAAGTTTCCGGATTATACGTATATTGTTGCAGACTCATAGCTGTGTGATGTTTTACACTGTTTATTTCCAGTGTACGATTGTGTTCTGCGCCCCCTCCTCTTATAAATAATTGCGCTGCAAGATAATTCCTAGCTTGAAACCCTGCACACACTAATATTCAATGGGAGCGCTATAAATGTCTGCATGCCCACGTTAAAATAATTGGAATGGTTGTACTGAAACTACGTTTTGTTGTACTGGGATGCTGGTTCAACAAGTAAAACTATCCTATTCTGCCTGCTTAACTTTTCCTTTCCTTTCCTTTCCTTTCCTTTCCTTTCCTTTCCTTTCCTTTCCTATCCTATCCTATCCTGCCCTGCCCTACCCTACCCTACCCTACCCTGCCCTGCCCTACCCCACCCCACCCCACCCCACCCTACCCTACCCTACCCTATCCTATTCTGTAAACATTGTGCTGCTTGCAGACGACTATGCATTTGTTGGTTTGATCTTCAGCAACAACGAATCTATGTCAGAAAGAGTTAGAAAGGGCAAATACTAAACAGAGGGTAGAAACAATGCTTACACCCTTTTTCAGCTAATTGTTTGGGTCTGCAAATGTCCACTGATGCACAAACACAGCCAGTGTCTTTCAAATGCCCGTTTCAGTGCTGAAATGTGGTGAAGAGTGAACTGGTGTATTTCGGAACTGTCTGGAATGAAAACTGCTCTGAGGCTGACAAGACGTACTACAAGGAGTGGTTGGATCTACCCTTGTCAAAAAAGCCACTAGCAGTTGCAAATCCAATGCAATGAAAATGGTAACCCATCCCAGCCAACTCATTAGATATTCACCCAACTTTCTTCAGGCAGAAGCCTCAAAGCACAGACAACAAGACTTATGGAATAACTTTTTTCTTGAGCCTGTGAGGCTCATAAACTTTGTCCTTCAAGTAGTCCTCTGCAACATTTTATTACAGTTTAATTTTAGATAATTATTAATGACTTTAGGTTATTTATTTTGTGCTGGCTCTTTTTAGATTGTATCTCAGGTAACAGACTCCGGAAGCAAGCTCAAAACCAAATTAAAATTTTTAGTTTCCTTACTAAACAATTCAAGTTGCTTTTAACCTATCTTACACATCTTTGGAGTGTAAAGCCGGGCGTACACTGTGCGTCTTTTTCACTTTTTTGAGCCGATTTTCCAGTCGTGCGAGAATCCACGACATCGGGGCGAGTTTTGCGCCGAGCAGTCGTGTAGTGTACGGGGGTTACGAGAGGCGATTAACACCACGTGACCAGCTGCCGATCAGCATTCGTGAGGTCGCAGGGACTTCTGGTGTGTTTAATATTTTGCTCGTCCCTCGTGAGGGTATCGCACTGTTGAAGCAGCGCTGCGAGCAGCTGCGAGCAGCAACGATCCAAAAAGTATCAGAACCGCTCACGGCGCATGCGCGCGCAATCCTGCATCAACACTTGTCGCTCGCTATTTCCCTAATAACACACGCTGTTCGTTTTTGTTTCTACACGTTTTTTACTCACAAAGATTGTCAAGAAAGCGTGTTTGTCGTGTTCATGTCAAATTAAACTGATCACAAAACAGATTTACTCTTTCGTTTTCCTCATCCAACCCCCATAAATCCCTGTGTGTCCTCCTGCAGCACTCCCGAAGGACAACAGGCAAGACAAGACAAAAAAGTCTGACGTGTTGAGTAAAAACTGCTATTTTTAGCACATTTTTAGGGCCGACGTGTTGCTACCAGACGTACAGTGTGAGCAGTCAGGTCGCATGCGAGAACTGGGTCATACAGTGTGAGCGCATGACTCGTGAGATCTGCTCTGCGAGGAAGTCGTACAGTTTGAGCTGAAGCTGAACGCTGCGAGTGAAAAAGTCGCACAGTGTACGCCCAGCTTAAGAGGAAACCAGAACACCAAGGACCCCCCCCCCCCCACACGCACACACAGCAGTGACAACATGAAAACTCCACACAGGCTGATGTGTGCGGCATGTTCAAACTAAACCACATCTCACATCAGCTACTCTCCATTTTATGACCAAGACAAATCTGCAACTTACTGAGGAATGTTTCGAATCCACACCCAAACCATGAGTTGCATGTGAAAAATAAAAGATAAAAAAGAGAGATTTTACAGGGCAAGCTTGCACACCCAGTAATGGCACAGCATGTCTGGCAGTTATGCAGGGCACACAACCACCAAAAAAAGCCCTGCTGTCATGTTCCACTGCCAAGCCATAATAACAGCAATAAGGTTGGGAGGCTCGTTAACCTTAATCCAGGAATTATACTGTGGCACCAGGGAGTGGAGGATGTGCTGTGTTGTGAACTTGTACATAGAAGCTGGAATTAAGCATTCACAACAGAAAGGGGGTGGGGGGGGGGGTGGGGGGGGGTGCAGCTTTAGGCAGTGAAAGTGGTGGTTCATGCAGTTCAAGAAGACAGAATTTATCTAAAGTCTGGATCAAATCAATCGAGAACACTGCTGAAAAATGAGCCTCTGCCTCCATCGTGTGGTCATGATGCATTACTTCTGCAGCAGAAGTCATTTCCTGAAAGTGTTGCAATCACCAAAGCACAAAAACAACTTTAATAGTTGCAAGACAAATAAAATGGGGCTTTCCGAGTTTTTTTTTGTCATGACACCAAATCCCTCGCAGCATATGGCGTTAGTGACATGACACTTCAATCAAATCATAGAAACTATTCAGCTGCAGCACTGCTTAGTGACGAATGTAAACACAGCCGGATGAAAACACATTTTATTCTTTAGATTCCAGCACATCCTTTATTCTGCTCCTTTCTGCCTGAATACAGGCAACACGAAAAATAATCTAATCCATCAAGTGATAATGAATTGTATTATTCTTCAGACACACATCTTATAACTGAGTTGACCATAGTTATTTTTCAGATCTATAAGTTCTGTGTCTTGTTTTTTCTAATTTAGCTGTAGTAACTATTTTGGTCAGTCTCATCCATAGACATGAATACGTTGATGCCCCATTGGGTGCTGGAGAGCGTAACAGTGTCGTTGCCATATACGACGAATGAATGAATTAATGAATGAATAACTTTTGTTTGATGTAGAGGGACAGTGTGCATTAATAAACATTTTACAATGTAAATGTACCCAATTATAGCCAAAAGCCTCAATTCCATTGGTAGTCCCCCTGCCTAAAGGCACATAACATGTAAAAAGTAACATTCAGATTTATAAGCATTTTAGAAGAAATATAAGTCAATGTTACACAGAGTAACAGTGCTCCCTGTCTCAATTCTGCAATTCTTGCACACGTGTGTACTACGCGCTTGAACCCTATTGTGCACTTTCTCCAAGTGCACTTTGCTGAAGACTGCAGGGCGCAGTGTGAGTATTGGGGATTGGGCTGATATCTGTGGTCTCATCAGCCAAAAAAACAGAACTGTCCTCCAACAGGTTCCTGTTTCTGCTGCTGCTGTGCATCCTTCCAGTCTTGTGACAGATCACGACTCACTGATGTGATTGTATCTTCTCCAACTTGATCTCCAAAACCAGTTAATCCATTAACTATAGAATACAAAACGAGTAAAAAGGCAGTGATTTGGCATGGATATTTATCCAAAAACACGCACGTACATTTGTCCCTAAAATTAACAAAATATTAATTTAATAAACGAATGATGCCTCCATTCTTTACCTGCCTTTGAAGATAAAAAAAAATTCCCTCATAGATCATCAGTGTCCTTAAATCGGTCCAATCTCAGAAACTTAACGTACTTTAAAACTGCAAAAATGAACATCAATAATTAGGTGGTGTCATTTCAAATAGTGTTTGACATCTTTTATGCTTTATTGTTAAGGTGTGTGTTTTTCTGTGCTCCTTTTTCTCCTATTTAGTTTTCAATAGACAAAACAGTCTGGATAATCAGGAACAGGAAAATAAAAGCCATCTGCAAAATTCCCAAATTACACCAAAGTGGGTGTGTAGTTAGGATTTGGAAGACACAAGTTTGTCACGTGAGAAAATGGGGAGGTGAATCTGTTTCTTGCGCCATGCAGGGGTTTCCTTCCTGACACCTCCTTAATTTCCTCCTTTGACAGTGCACACACTCTCTCACTCACACACTCATGCCCGGACTTGATGAGACGTAACTACAGTTAGAAACCTGTGAAGAACATTTTCTTGTAAAGACACAGAGAATAGACAGCAGAGGTCTATGGTAAGTTCACAGCTACATTACCTCTTATCATTTGTATCATTGATATGTTTTTACCAACATGTGATAAAACATATTTTAAACAAAATTAACTTAACCCTCCCACTGTCCTAATGGATGTGACCCCGCAAGGAAAGTTGATGTCAATGATCAACTTTCCTCGCAGGGTCACCTATAAAGACAGTGGGAGGGTTAAAGGGGGAAAAATGTATTGTTTGCCTTTGCTTCATGTATTGAATTATATTAAAACATCTTATTGTGGAATTTATTCGTAGCAGACAAACAACAAAAGCAAAGTAGGTGAAGTTGACTTGTCATCCACTATTTGCCCTTTAATAGTACTTAAATATAGTCAAACAGTTAACCAGTTAACAAGATAACAACTATGGTAACTAAACATTAAAGCTTATTATTGGTAAAAAAAAAAAAAAAAGAAGAAAAAAAAAGAAAAAGAAGAACTGGGACAATATAGTGCTTCTAAAAATATTTGACTTGCCATAATCAACTTCTACCCAAAACTGTACTAAATGTATAGAAAACATAAATTAACCAGAGTTATTCAAAAATCAAAAGTAATTTAAAAAATAATCAAACCAAAGTAATAAATCTACTTATCAACAAACCTTTAAAATGGCAACACAATTATAGGGTATGTAGCATGATAGGGCTGCTCCAAAAGTGTTTTGCTATGAAAATGAAATTTAAGGTACAAAAGAATAAAGTATGAATGACATCCTGTGGTCAAATTTAGGTACTGCAGTCCATTTTTATAAACAAAAAGTAAGTTTCTCACTACCGTACCGTGGTTTTCATGGCTATCACTGGTTACGATCAGCACTTGAAGATTCTTTTTGCCTTTTTTTGCCTTCTGTTGTCGAATTGCAAATGCCGGCGTGCCAGTGTTAGCTTGGCGCAAACTTGCTAACCCAAGGGACTCACAGATTGTAAACAAAGACCACGTGCCTCTTGAATTTTTTTTGAAAGAAGAAAAATTGACAAACCCCCAAATGGCTGAGAATGAAATCTGTTTCAACATGACTGAGACATTAGACTGTTTGTGGCAATTTTACTGTAGAATTCTTATATATTGTTCCTTTAATCCTAATAAAACCAGGTCCAAAGCATTTCATCGCTGCTAAAGAGCACAAAGCTGGAGATCTCCGTGTCATGCTGAATGAGTTAGAATAGCAGAGGGGATGTGTTAAAGGCAGAGTAATGCTTGAAATCATTGTTCTTCCTGTTAACCATAAACAATTGCAAGGAAACACATGCAGCTATCACTGCGTTGCAAAAAAGAAAGAAAAAAAAGGGGGCTTCACAGGCAAGGATATTGCTGCAACTAAGATTGTTACCAAAACATCCTCAGACAGAAACTTCCAACCATCTACAAGTTTGTGAAGGACAGCCTTTTGCACCAAGATGAAGCACAGTGCAATACGGTTTAGTGATCTTAAGTGGCTTGGGGGGGGGGCAGGAAATGGCCTTGAAACTCCTCAGACATGAGCACAACTTAGAACTTTTGGCTAATCTTCAAGGTGGACAAACTCCAAGCTTGATTATTAAAGAGTGGGTTACCATCAGTCAGGATTTCATACAGAAGATGATTGACAGCATCTCAGGGCAAATTGCGGAGGTCTTGACAAAAAAAGGTCAACGCTACAAATATTGACTTTTTGCATAAGCCTGATGTAATTGTTAGGGACGCACCGATACCGATTTTTCCAAACTGTTATGATACCGATACTTAGTTCTGAGTACTCACAGATGCCAATACTTCTGCCACAAAAAAATGCAATGAATTGAAATAAAGGTTTTATTTTCTTCTCTGCTTTCAACAGGAAAGGACTGACATAGATAAAAAATAAAATATATTAATAAAAAATTAAGTGAACAGAAATGACAAGTTACAGTGAAGCCATGTTTAGTCAAATGCACTGGTATCGGACCAGTACCAATACCAGTATCAGTATTGGTGCATCCCTAGTAATTGGCAGCAACTTTATGAAGTGCTTGTAATTTTACTTCAATGCAGAAACAGCTGAGAAAAATATCTAAAAACGCCAACGCAGAAAACTTTGCTGAAACAATTATTTGTCATTCTCAAAACCTTTGCACACAACTGTAGGGTTGGTGCTTATCCTTGTTTATGTTCCTAAAAACCAGAACCAAGAGCCCTAAATGAACTATGTGAATTACAGGAACCCAGTGAAGCAGGGAGAGTGTGAAGGGAGTATCATTTAATTCTGAGCAACCTTTTTGGAAAATTTTAAACATCCTTTGACACTTTAGTGAATTATTCTTAGAATTCTTTATATTGGCTGTAATCCACATGGAAAGGGATGTAACTCAGCTCTTCTATCAATGTGTTGAGACTTAATGCAAACCAGCATTAATAAGAGCAGAAATCATGACAAATACTAAAAGAAGCAGAATTTTTGACAAAATAATTTTGCTTGACATATGAAGGAGAAATAGTTTTCATAGTTGAAGCACAAAATCAACTAGAAGAAATAAAATCCCATTTTCAGGATGTCTGAAATAAAATGACTCATTACTTCATAAAAAGTGTAACTTTGGTTATAACATTTTTTACAAAACCTTCATTGCATTTGTTAATCCAACATTTCATAATTAAAAAAATGATACAAAATACAAAAACGTTTTACAATTTTTGCTTGAACTGATTCATAAAAACACATATCGTGTTATTGGTTGACAGCAGCCAGTACCTTTGTGCCTTCTATGCTTTTTTTCTTCCTTTTCTGAGTTTTGTACTCTGCGACCTCACAGATACAGAAGATAACTCATCAGACCACTCACATACAGGAATCGAGACCTATTTTTGTGGTGCGTCAAGTGAGGAGGAGGTAAGAACAAAACTAGCAATTCTTATTATAGGGGCTTTTGCCAACGTGCATCACAAACAAATGCTTCAGACAATAAATAAGAAGTGAGAAGTTGTTTTTACAAGCTGATTTCTGCTGTTTGGATAAAAAAGAGAATAGAAAGTAAAAGAAAGAAAACAAATAATAAAGAAAGATGAAGCTAAAGTCATCTATGTATCAGAATCTATAAATACGATTTCTTGAAATGTTCTTTCTGTGTTTCTTTTCAATATCCATTGTTTTTTTTCTTGCTTAAAGCAGCTTTCTGGAGTTTTCTCCTTTCAGAAATGATGTATGATTTGTCAGAAATCCATAAAAGTGATTATCTTATCATTTACTGTGATATAATGTAAGCAACACATCTTTTTTTATTTGCTAAGTGCGCCCCCTGCCCTGCAGAGCTCCGTGCAATGGGAAACTGAACGCCGACCAGAACTAACCAATTGCGTTAGACTACTGCTTACTTGCTTCAAATTTAAGGAATACCTCGGCTGTTGCAGAGTTGATGAACTTTTTACGGACAAGTAAGTCTCTAAAATATAAATAAATGAGAGCACAACACGACATGAGAATGCTACTCGTAAAACAACGTGTTTAGCTCTGTTTGTTGGCTATAGAAGCACATTTACAAACAGAAACGTGAAATCGCCATCTTAAAAAAACTGAAGGAGTGTGATATGCTTGTCAGCGACTAGATGGTGCCATCAGATAAGAGAAATACTCCGGAAAGAAGCTTTAATATACAGCGTAGCAAAGTCTTTTCCTTAATCTGCTGACAGTTTCCACGTCACACAGTTGCCATCTTCAGAGCAACTGTGTGGCGTGGCAACTGTCAGCAGATTAAGGCAAAAAACTTTGCTACACTGTGTATTAAACAAGAAAAAACTATGGAAATCTAGAAATAAATTTCTGAAAGGTAAGAAGACACTGAAATGTTTCCTTGCTGCATTTCTTATTAACCTGCTGCACCACAGTTGTTTTCCTTTTTTAAAGCAACATGACTCCAGTAACCCTTTAAAGGACACTCACACATGGATGTAATTTTGGGGGCGGGGACTGGGGGGACATGTCCTCCTTCACTTTTTCCAAAGTCAACTTTTGTCCCTGCATGTTTTACCGTTCAAAAACACTATTACGCCATATTAAATAGATACTCGTTGAGCACTAGGACCAAGTAGAAAACAACTGCTTGTGTTGAAGCCTGTTTCCCATTAGAACCGTTCATAAGCTCATCTATTGGCTCTGCTGATACTTGCTAATGTGTGATTGGCCGTTCCTGCCACCTGTGTACTTGACAGTTCTGCATTCCTGACATTGCATAAAAGAGCCTCTGGGCTGTAGTTTTAGACATATTTTTTGTATGATTCCTGTAAAGACTCCCTCCCGGTCCTCATGCCGGTTGTGTCCCCCCACTTCTAAAGTCAAAACTATGTCCATGCTCACACAATACTTGAAAATCTAATGATTCAATTCTTTACTGTCACAGTTTTAAACTTTCTTGCCTTTTATGTTTTTTTTTTGTACTTGTTGGCCTTTGTTCTGTTTATTTGGTGCACGTCTCTGGCTCAAGACCCAGTGTGCAAGTTATGATCAAATGTTAGCATAGTATCTAGACCATCATCTGCCAAATCAAAAATGACATTGTAAATCCACATGTATAGGATGGCTTTCCAGGCTAGGTCAAATGTAGCTTCAGACATCCAGATAGATGCTTTGTATACTGATTGAACCCTAAATGACTGGTGAGTTGTGAAGTAGAGTAAAAACCAGAAAACAATCTTTTTTAAAAGTTTCATGAAGACGTCATCCTTTCTTTTTGCCAACTCACCAAACTTTCACATCAGGGTTTAAACCTTAAAATAAACCTTTTAGTTTCTCGCTTCTTTAGATTTAAATTTGTTATTTTACGGCTGGAAGACTGATGAACTTTTATCTCTCCTGCAGATAACAATGGGACTTTCTGAGGAAGTAGTTGTGACAGGAACCCCGGTCCAGAATTCTACAACCTTTCTGGATTCGGAATTTCGCTACTTGCTATTCCCTGTGATCTACAGCATCTTCTTCATCTTCGGCTTCATCGCCAACTTCTACGTGCTTTTTGTCCTGTGGTCCCTCCGGGAAGCAAAGGCTATGGGAGAAATTCGGATCTACATGACCAACCTGACTATTGCCGATCTACTTTTCGTGTGTGTGCTTCCCTTTTGGATTAGTTACTACCGCCGTCGGGGTGACTGGATCTTTGAGGACTTCATGTGTCGGCTGACAGGCTCGTTTTTTTTCATCAACGCCTACGGTAGCATTCTCTTCCTTGGAGCCATCAGTCTTAACCGGTACTGGGCGGTCACTCGGCCTCTGGATGCAGCCTCCTCGGACCACAGGCGTCGGGGGATCATTGTGTGCGCTTTAATTTGGGTTTTCACCATTTCGATATCCGTTCCTTACCTGTTATCACCAGCGACCAAGCAGGACTTGGACAAAATCCGATGCTTTGAGGGATACCAGAATGAAACCAATTCATACAAGAAGAAAGTAGCCAGCATTCATTTCTCAATAATTGGAATGTTTTTTGTTGTCTTCTTTCTGGTCGTGTTGTGTAACTCTCTGATCGCTCAAGCTTTACTTTCCCAGCAATTTCCACAGTCAAAGTTTCATTCTGACACATTCATTTCCAAAAAGTCCAACAGGTCCACAATGTCTTCATCTAAAAAGCCTAGAGGGGTGAAACGTAGGGCTCTGCAGATGCTCTTGGCAGTAGTGGGAGTGTTTGCTTTGTGTTTCCTACCCCACCACATAGTCCAAGGCCCCTGGGTGCTGGCAGTGCTGCAGATTACAGAGGGCTGGGGCCATGTGGCCTATGACCAGGACACTCGTCAGATGCTAAACGACGCTCATCAAATAACTTTGGCTCTTATGGGCCTCAACTGCATCTTGGACCCGGTGGTTTATTTCTTTGCCACGAGGAAGTTCAGGAGGTTTATAGTGAACCACATGAAGAAGATTGCAAGAGGAGAGGCCTGCTCTCACTCAGCTAACATACTGGACTCCGTGGACAGCAAACACCAGAGCCAGAGACTACATAGCATACACCAACCGTCCAACGATAAAGAACTAAATGAGGTGTAAATATGAACTGGAGGGTTCTGCTTGTGTTTGTGATAGTGTGAAAAAAAACATGAACTGAAATTGGTTGTATATTAAAAGCAAGCAGGTGAAGACCAGCGTTCTGTATGCTCTCCCATGTTGTGTTATTATTATTATTATTAGAGAGCAAACTACTGCAATGTTTATGTTTTGTGTTTTTGTTACAAACATAATTTTAGTGTTATTTTGCATTTAATAATTTTATTTGTGTCTCTAACAGATTTAGGTCACTTTTAAGTTTTGTATCAGGTACAGCAGATTTCGTTTACTACCTTATTTTCGTTAGGCTTGTCCTTTATTTGAACCAGGAAGCTTTTATTTTGGTAACCACACTTTTGTTAGTGGCATGAGTCAAACATTCATGTGAAATATACAGTATACATTAACCACAATTTGAAAAGGATGCTTTATTAAATGAAGACAAATGATAAATACAAAAATAAATAAAAAGAACTTGATAATTTAATTTTTTGGACATTGTGATTTGATGGGTCTGATGCCACAGAAACCCTTGAAATTAGCGCATTAGCATCAGCTAATAGCAGACTACAGTTTCCCTATGATTTGAAGTACTTTAAGCATTGTGTTCTGTTCAGTTTGAGAGTTTGTTGTCAAAAAGCTTCAGCAGGTTAGTATGTTTCTGTAGTTAGCTTGCTAACAGCAGATGGCTTTATCTTGTTCTTCTAAAGATAATTATTACAAATGTTACAAATCATCATGCTCTGGGCATAGGAACCTCCACTCAATGTCACAAAAACACTCAGAAAACTGATCTTATGTGTGCGGATGTATCTGATTACTGTACAGAGCTGAAACCTGACTGTGAACGAATATTTCACACCCGGATAATCATTATTTATTGCCGTCTGGCTCATGGCTGTGCCATATTCAGCAAGATCCTGCAAAGACATGAGGTGCTGCTGAAAAAAAAGCAAATCAGGATTTTTTAATTGGATTTGCAGATCATGTGGTTAAAGTACTATAATAAAGTTATAAAGTTGTTTTTGAGAGCCATGCCTGTTTGAATGTGCACACATCACACACGTGACAGTTCCTCCGATGCAGTGACGCACAGTGTTGTGCCCGAACGCGTTCATTGAACGATCGTTCGTGAATTTGTTCGTTTTTTTTTTCGCGAACGTGAACTGAACTCGTTTGTATTTTGCCTGACGAACGTAAAAACGAGTGCGTTCATCCTGGCATGCTCAAACGTGTTTATGAACGCATTCGTTTGCCGTTCTAGCTCCAGATCTCCTCAGAGCTTTTCCAAGCGCTAAAGCTTAGCTAAAATATCCTGTTAACTGTAGGGTTTATAAAAAGTACAACCTGCAAATGTGGCCAAACATAGGCAGTAGCAGTTGGTGCGGCGTCTACTCTTTTATGTCTATGCTCTGTGGAGGACGTCAGTTATGGAGTCACACCACTCGAACGTGATGTCATCAAATCGCAAAGCATGGAGGAAAATTCCAACGGATGCAGCGGCAGTAGCAATACGTTTGCATCAATGGTTACTGCAGGAAAAGGGACTTAACTGAATGATTATATATTAACTGAAAGGTTATGCATATTTTAGTGTTTTGCACTTTTATTATTGCACTTTGCTACTTCAGCCTGCTTCCCAAGTTTGTTTAATATTTTCCCATTAAAACAACTGTTCAAAAAATGTTTTCCTCATGTTATTGAGAATATAGAGCTCCGGGAGTTGACGTCACTTCTCCCGGCATGCAACAGTTCAAATCGAAACGGCGCCATATTGGCATGCAGAAGCCGGCAGCTGGACTATTTGTTATTGTCAGAAAACTCAATCAAACGGGAAATATGGTAGATTCCTGTTGTGCCCCAGGATGCAGAACAGACGCGGACGACATAAGGAATGAGCCATCTACAGGATTCCCCAAGATCCGGAGCGCCGTAAACGTTGGATCATTGTAATAAAACGCACTAGAGACCGGGCGAAAATGAAGCTGTGGGATCCCGAGAGTAAAGGTTTTCACTTATGCAGCGACCACTTCATATCAGGTACTTAAACCAACGTTTCCTCAACTGTGTGTGGTATTTATTTTAAATGCTTTTATTATGATTCTTAGTGGGCTTCCTAAACTTATTTTGGCGTGGCTTTTTCTGTCTTATTACTCATAGCAGCAAGTAAACATCACGTAAAACGTTGCCTCGTGAGTTCTGCGTGCTACCGTTTACGTGTTTTATGATGACAGCAATTAACCGGCTAAGCTGTATTTAATTTTTAAGCAATGGTTGATCAATTGTCAGATCACACATAAAAAGCACTTTGGATTGCTATTATCTGTCTCACAGAGACTACTTACGTGTAAATCTGTTATTTGTCCGTCCATCCATCCATTTTCATCCGCGTATCCGGAGTCGGGTTGCGGGGGCAGTAGCGTGACTTCCCTCTCCCCAGCCGCCGGAGCCAGCTCCTCCGGGTAAATCCCAAGGGGTTCCCCGGTCAGGTCCGGTGTTGTGCCGGTAAGAAGTCCGCTCCGACGCCAGAAGCTGTCGGCAGTAGAGTCGAGAGTCCCAGACCTTCTCCCCAGCTCCTCCGGCCGGGGGAAACCCGAGGGGTTTCCCCGGCCAGGTCCGGTGTTGTGCCGGTAAGAAGTCCGCTCCGACAGCTTCTGGCGTTTTTAAAATGTATCCCAGGGGCACGGTAAGGGTCAGAGATGTTTAGTCTATTTAATTTCTGACTATATAAAACGATTTCTTCTGTTTTAAAGTGTGAAGTAAACTCCGACGAAGTAAAATACAAGCGGATCCCGTTCATGTTCATGGTTACATCCGTGTTTGTTTACCTTTTTTGCATGCCAAAATGGCGTCCACTAACTGAGAGTCACGTGGGATCCGGAGCTCTATACTGTAGGGTTAAAACTGCAGCTGGGTATGAGTGTGGACTGAATGGGTGCCAACTATTGGAAAATGATTTAGTTCATTTTAAAATGTATGAACTGACCTCTGAACCAGTTCGTTTTTAAACAAACTTTCCCAACACTGGTGATGCACACCCGAGTTAGTTGTCATCAATAAGGGCGTCAACCGAACTTAGCAAGAAAATGCTCCTGTTTCAGTTGAAAGATATGTGGGTGGAGTTTCACAACTCCACATCTGGGAAACATGGGGTTGTTTTCCATCTGAAGCAGCAGTTTTTTTTTACTTTGTGTGTGACTAATTGAATTCCCAGAGGAGTGTAACTTGTAATTTCTACTCCTGAAGGTTCTATGAGTGGAATTCCACTGAAATGATACAATTTCTAAACCTGTATAAGTCGTCACGAAAATATTTACCATCACTCCTCTTCCTCACGAATGGGATATTTTATTGTTTAACATAAGAATGAGTTCAGTGAGATCTGGTTTAAGACAGTTTGATTTGGCCTCGTGTTATCTTGATGATGCAGTTGTTCCAACTATGGTGTAAGTTGCGCCATCTCTTCCTGTTGAAACTTACAAGCAGAAATGTTTGTACAAAACAACGACAAGATCTGAAGTTTTGTGTTTTGTTGTCATTGATGAGGGTGATTTCTGAGATAAGCTTTAGGCTCTAAAACAAACAAAAATACTTGTTGTTTTTCGGTTGAGTTACACTGAAATATTTCAGACCAGCAACAACATGCTGCTTTCAAATGTTGAGCTCGTCAGTCAAAGAGAACCACGGTATTTAGACAGCTGGGTTCAGTTTGACAAGTCATTTGTCCTAGAAACCTATCCATCCATCCATCCATCCATCCATCCATCCATCCATCCATTAAATCATCCATCATGAATCCATCCATCCATCCATGGACGTAATTTTCACTTTAGAAGTGGGGCGGACACCGGGAGGGGGGGGGGGGGGGGGGGTCTTTGCAGTATGCTCTAATGGGAAACGGGCTTCAACACAAACGGTTGTTTTCCCTCTTGGTCCTAGAGCTCAACCAGTGTCATTTTAATATAGCGTAATATTGTTTTTGGATGGTAAAAAGTGCAGGGGTCAAAACTTGACTTTGGAAAAAGAGGGGGGACATGTCTCCCCGCCCCCCCAATTACGTCCATGCATCCATCCATTCAATCATCCATTAAAAATCCATTCATCTATCCATTCAATCATCCATCATATATCCATCCATCCATCCATCAATCAAAAAAGCAACCAACCATCCATCCAACCATCCATCCATCCATCCATCCATCCATCTGTAACGTGATGAAGGTTCTCTAATTTGTGGCAAAGGGCACATCTACCCAGCTGGGTCAAGCTGGGTCAAACAGTACTTTTAAATCCACAGATTAATCAAGGAGCCATGATGTCTGGAAGATCATATCCATATCTGCTGCTGTTCCATCCCAGGAGGAGGACACGTCAAGTTCAGGATGATAATAATTAGATAATAATAATTAATAAAACTCATTGATTTTATTACTGTTTAACATAATCGTCATAAATGATCACTTGGTTCAATATAAAGGTATTTTAATTACATGAAATGAATTATTATGCTTTGGGATAATAATGATTAATTATGATTATGGTTGATGACAGTAAAAGATGTGTTCAGCAAAGGTCAGTTTCACCTTATCCATCTAACACAGAGTCCAGATAAACGATATCTGCATAACATGTTTTGACGCATGATCAAAGCTTTCTTGCTGAGAGAGTGGGAGTGTCCTGAGAGCTTTGTAAACTGTAACCATCACCAGCTTCAGTCAGTTCTTGAACCAACATCACGGAGGAAGGGAACGACCGTCCCTAAACCTCCAACTGCTGTTCCAGTCACGTCGACAAGAATAGCTAAGAATAAATGAAACTGTAACCAGCTAACGAAGACTCTACCCAGAGTTGTTGATTTCTGAGTTAAGACGAGAACGTCCATTCGCAAACGCTCGACAACTGTGTACCCGGCGACATCTCTGGACCAGATGATCGGACACTCGCGTCTTTCCTGCCGGACCGAGTGTCATCTTGGATGAACACATCCTCCTGATCTCCGGATCCACAAGAGGGTCTCCTGTTTGGGTGAGGTAGAACACAGGAATGCGTTTGATGCTGTTTTCTCTAAGTGAAAGACTCAGTTAGCCACAAAACATCATTTTCATCCAGAACGCTTATGCTCTCTCTCAAAGAAATCCATTCACGCATCCAAACTTGTATTTGCAATTTAGCTTCCATCCAGCCACAGGTTTGTTTTTAAACAAGTTTAATATCAAAGCTGTTAAAAATTGTCATTAAATTGTCATCCATGAATTGTCGTTTATAATTGTCATTTCAAATCTTTAAGTTTAAAATTGTTAGTAATAAAATTTCTTCATTTTTAAACTTGCCTCATTATTGAAACGAAACACAGAAAAGGTACAATATTTCTGGTTATTTGAAAGCAAAGATTCCTAGCTTCTGATTCAAAATAACTTTTGCTATTAAATTTAACTATTTAAATTAAACGTTAATCTTTGGATTAAAATTAGACCAAACAGGTTGGTGTATGAACTTAGATCGATATATAAGTATCCGGGATATTTATACATGATCTAGGCCAGGGGTGTCAAAGATGCGGCCCGCAAGCGGGTTAAATCCGGCCCGCGAGACGATTGTGTGAACTTTATTTTCATACTTTACAATGTAGAGTGAAAACAAACGTATCTTTGTGAGCAAGTTTTCTCTGTAATGAGTATAAATAAAACAAAGCTGCGCTCAAGGCTCACACGCAAGAACTTGAATCACATCCTGAAGTTGGCTGCCACTCAGGATGTGACTTCTGATATTGATGTGCTGGTGAAAGCTAAAAGATGTAAAGTAAAATGAGTCAAATATACTTTAAGTGCTGCATGAAACTGATCTTGCCATGTTATCTGTAAGCTCTGAATCACTAAGGAATGTTTTTTTTATTGATTGATTTTTTTTTTTTTTTCAAATTTTCAAGTACACTTCAGGTGTTGTACTTGTACTACACTGTCCTCAGGCTCCAGCCTTGTTTTATATTGATTGAATTAAAACAAAGAAAACAATCTGAAGTTTTTTTTTATTTACCGGTCCGGCCCACCTGGGACTAGATTTCCCTCAATGTGGCCCCTGAGCTAAAATGAGTTTGACACCCCTGCTCTAACCCCGGCTTTCCACGGGAGCCGTCAGCAGCACGTTACTGCTGCAGCACGTCATAGCTGCTGATAGGAACCGCTGTGGTCAACAGAACCTTTTCCACTGGAGCCGTCAGCAGCCGTCAGCAGCGCGAGTCGGCCGCGTCTCAGAAGCAGCATGTCGCGGCCTTTACGCGCCGGTTCTATTTTCTACGCGCGACGCCTCTGAAACGGGTCACCCCGGCTTTCCACGGGAGCCGTCAGCAGCACGTTACTGCAGCAGCACGTCATAGCTGCTGATAGGAACCGCTGTGGTCAACAGAACCTTTTCCACTGGAGCCGTCGGCAGCCGGCAGCAGCGCGAGTCGGCCGCGTCTCAGGAGCAGCATGTCGCGGCCTTTACGCGCCGGTTCTATTTCCTACGCGCGACGCCTCTGAAACGGGTCAAGTTCGACATTTTTGGGGAAGGAAAGACAGGAAATCGGACGCGGAAATGGAGAGAAGCTCCCGAGATTTTCAGAATAAAGAACGTACTGCCTTCCGGTCGCTTTACTTTAAAAAAGGTTACTAACTGTGCGGCCCCGTGAGAAGTTATCACCTAGCTAGCGGTCTCCTTTGTTTTTCAGGTCCGTATTGGCGATTATAAAACGGACAGAACATAAAAACACAAATATTTTGGAGCCATGTTGTAGTTTTCTCCTGCTTGTTGTTGTGTTTACTGACGAAGTCACTCGTGTGACTTCGTGCTCTGTCGGTGATAGTTGCTCCCCTGCTGATTCGCGTCTCGTGGGAAGGGCCAAGCAGCAGCTTACGCGAGCAAGACGTGCTGCTGCAGTAACGTGCTGCTGACGGCTCCCGTGGAAACCCGGGGTCAAGTTCGACATTTTTGGGGAAGGAAAGACAGGAAATCGGACGCGGAAATGGAGAGAAGCTACCGAGATTTTCAGAATAAAGAACGTACTGCTTTCCGGTTGCTTTACTTTTAAAAAAGGTTACTAACTGCGCGTCCCCGTGAGAAGTTATCACCTAGCTAGCGGTCTCCGTTGTTTTTCAGGTCCGTATTGGCGATTATAAAACGGACAGAACATAAAACACAAACCATGTTGTAATTTTCTCCTGCTTGTTGTTGTGTTTACTGACGAAGTCACTCGTGTGACTTCGTGCTCGGTCGGTGACAGCTGCTCTCCTGCTGCTTCGCGTCTCGTGGGAAGGGCCAAGCAGCAGTTTACGCGAGCAAGACGTGCTGCTGCAGTAACGTGCTGCTGACGGCTCCCGTGGAAACCCGGGGTAAGCCTCATAGGTTAATCTGATTGGTCATTTTTCGGAATCTCCAACTGAATAGCAACAGAGTTGATTCCAGTGTGTTGTTTAATCTCTACACATCCATCCATCCATCCAACCATCCATCACAAAACCAACCAAACAACCATCCATCCATCCATCCATTGCTTTCATCCATCCATTCATCACAAAACCAACCAACAAAACATCCATCCATCCATCCATCTATCAAAAAACCAACCATCCATCCAACCACTGATCCATCGATCGATCGATCGATCGATCGATCGATCCATCGATCCATCCACTGATCCATCCATCCATCCATCCATCAAAGATCCAAGCATCCATCCATCCATCCATCAAAGATCCAAGCATCCATCCATCCATCAAAAAATCCAACTATCCAACCATCCATCCATTCATCAAAAATCCATCCATCCATCCATCCATCCATCTATCCATCCGTCCATCCATTCATCCATTTATTCATCCATGCATCAGGGAGTTGGTGCCTATCTCTGACGGTCAACGAGCATGTGTCAGCAGACACTGTGGACAGGCTTCCATTCCATCACAGGGACACAAAGAGACAAACATCCAGCCATACACTCACACCTTTCGAGTCTCCGATCAACCTCAGATAGTTTAGTTTATTTCAAACAAAGAAAACATACATAATTTTTTAAATGTACCACAAACAGAATAAATACATATCATCATCCCTTTTTTTCTTCTTCTCTGTCTGAAAAGGAGTAGGCTGAAGTTGAAACTTATATGTCCCTACCCCTTTATACAAGTAATTTTTACTTGTTTACTAAATGTAACACAAAACCTACATTAAAACAAACAAAATGGTACAAGTCACCAAAAACCACCAAACCATATGAAAAAAAAAACAAAAAAAGAAAAAGAAACACATCTTTTTACAAATGATGCTCATATTTACTTTACCTTAGAATAAAAGACAACCACATAAATCATCTATTTTCCAAACAATGTTTCCTGACACACATGTTTGACGTCAGTGGTAGGAGGCCGGAGCACACAGAGAGAACTCCTTAATGCGAGGAGAGAACAAGCTAGTTCTTGCAAAAAAGCTGCAGCCAGGATTCATACTTGTGTGATTTTTGCTGTAAGGCAACAGTGACATTAATTGCATCACTATGCTGCCCAAAACCCCCAATGTGAAGAATAGTGGGACAAATTTTATAATACTTTATATGTCACCTAATGGCATCTTGCAATATATACAGTCTGCTTTTAGATACTATGCTGCATACAGATGGAATCAGCTTCCTCATCACCCCAAGTGTTCCTCAACTCTTGTAATTTTTAAATGAAAATTAAAAACTTTAATAAATTCATCAGCGTTTTTGTGATTGTTTCTCATGCTGCGCCTTCTTCACTGTAACTGCTCAGTCTGTCTTATTTTATTTTATATTTTAAATATACTTTTGTTTTACGTTGTAGCTTTTTTTAAAACACAGAAACCATATTTAATAGTCTCAGTGTAATAGGAATTGTGCTATAAAAATAAATCTGTCTTGCCTCCACAGAGATGAGAGACAATCAGTTAGAAATGCTATGAATGAGTCAATCTTTCAAAAAACACAAGAACTTTTCAACAAATGTTTATTAGATTTGCTAAACTGTAGTGAAGACCATATATAAATGAACAAGAATCTGACTGCTATTCAGGTCATAACAGCGGAAAACCTTTCCCACTCTGATCTGATGACACAGTTCTGAAAGTCGACCACTTCAAAAAGAAACTACTCTACCTGGAAATCCACTACCCAAGTGTTTCTGCTGATAAATGTCGTCATTCATTTTTAGACCTTCACTCAGCTCAAGACAGAGATGAATACAGATTGTCTCCTGCCATGTTGGCAGGATTGAGGTCCGTGTATGCTGGGTTAGGGCCTGTGTAATTCATGTACACGTCTCCATCAGGGTCAGCTGGAGGCTTACAAACACTGGGGAGGAAAACAAAAAATAGATTTTTTTTGTGCGTATTTGAAACCGTTCAAAGGTTTAAACACAGAAAATGAATCTAAAGGAAATGATCGCTTGTCAGAACCTACTTCAGCACCGCCGTGGGTCTTGCTGTAGCTTCAACTTCAACAAAAAAACACAAAAGATTTTAACCATATTTGATTTAATCTAAAGTCATTTTTTAGTTATGTTTTTACCTTTCTTTGGAGTGCTGGAGGTGGTCATTTGGTGACAGAATTTTTGGCTCATGAACCAAAGAAAAGCAGCGATGAGGAAAATCGAGTTCAGAATAGACAGCACGAGGGCGGCTTCTCCTAAATCCTCGTTAGCTGATGTTTGTTGAGTAAACGACACATGAAACGAGAAAAAAAGAACCCTTCAGAGTTCTAGTGCCTCTAAATGAACTAAACATGACAGTTTGATCATTTTAACCACATTAACTTAAGGAAAAGCGCTCATGTAAGCATGAAGAATATCTACTACCAACTTTGACGGGGGACAGAGATGATGAAGACCGTGAGGTTTTGGCTCACGCTCTTTTGAAACTTGGTTTCAGCATAGCATCGGTACAACCCACTATCTTCTGGCTTGGATAGGGTCAGTTCTTTGCCATCGATCACCTTTTTCCAGGTGTTATTTTGCAGGTGAGACCAATTCCAAAGGACAGGGTTTAAGCTGAAAGCAGACCTGCAGGATAACTGGACTTTTTGACCTGAAGCAACTGGGTAGTCTGGTACAGCCATGGCCTGCAGGATCAACTTTTCTGTTGCTGGGGTGGTGGGTAAAAGATTAACACGACAAGAGAAGATAGTTGATTTAGAAAGGGTTTCATCACTGATGAGAACATCGTACTGTAATTTAGAACACAGAATTTTGCCTCATTAACGGTTTTAGCTGATGTTTAATCCATAAAAAATATAAAAGCGTGGTCAGAGAACTTACAAATTTAGCTTTGAGGGTAAAAAAGTGTCATCAAATGTTTTTTGTTAGGTTTCAATAAGCAAAACTAGTTGAATTTGAGGAAAAATGGCTGATTTCTAAACAAAACAAACAAAAAGTTACATGTGAGAGACATATTCCACTATAATCTGCTTTAATATCCACTGGATTTTCATCAGCATCTGTGTTCATATCACAAAATGAAATAAAATTAGGAATGAAAACAGCTTCTATCACAGCGTCCATGCTGCATCACAATTACCTTCTGTGGTGTTTGGAGGTGGGGAAGATGCCAACCCTTTGGCTAAAAAGAAAAAAAAAAAGAAAAACATTGTAACAGATCTGTTTTTTGAAGTACTTTTTTAAAAATCAGATTTAAGACTTACCTGTGCTTCCACAAACACAGAAAGGGAGAAAAAAGCCAAGCAGCATTTTGTTCTGAGAAGAGCTGAAAAGGTCAACTCTGCAGTTGCTTTAAGGATAAAACTGAATCGTAGGGTTATTAAAGCCCGGGCGAGACTGGAGGAAGTATTTTTTTTTTTACAGGGAAGCTTCAAGTTCCCTTTTGTGAAAACAAATAACCAAACAACAATGTGAGGATGAATTATAATCTAAAAACAACAAGAGAAAAAGCAAATGCATTGTTTCCATTACTTAGAAGTTAGAACAAATGAAACTTAGCAAAAACATTTAAAAAATGTTTAATGATTTGATAAGATAAATTTTGTATTAATGGAAATTATAGCTGGTTCCATCAGACATTACATTTCCACATCTCCAACAGAAGTCGCCTTTGGGCTGAGGTGCTCATGACAGTTCAGATAGTTGGTTGAATTCCAACCGCTCACCTGTGGCGACAGCTCGCTGGTTGCCGAGGTGACTCAGGGGGAGCGGGTGGATTTTATTTACAATGCTGCAAAAAGCTAATACAATCAAGCTGAAGATTATAGCTTTATTAAGACTTTAGCTCATTACTGTCCAGAGGTGTGGACTCGAGTCACATGACTTGAGTCTGACTCAAGTCATTGTTTTAATGACTTCTGACTTGACTTGATAAAATCTATTAAGACTTACGACTTGACTCGAACTTGAACACCAATGACTTGCGATTTGAATCTACTTGCATCTGTTGACTTGATGATGACTTGAGCGTTTTTGATATTTTAGCACAAAAGTGGCACGACATGGACAAAAATCATAAATCGTTCTTCGTTCTGGGTTTGATCTTGTACTCCTGAATGCAGCAGCTCTTTGTTTCAGTTGCACTTTCTGCTTGTTTGAGCAAATAAATTAAGCTTTAAGAAGTTTTATTTCCGAAATGTATTTATTATCATTGTCATTAAATTGAAGTTGGACAGATGACTTGATTATGACTTGAAAATTCAAAGTTCAGGACTTGGACTTGACTAAGACTTCCAGATCGTTGACTTTAGACTTGACTTGGACTTGCTTGTCTTTGACTTGGACCTGACTTGAGACTTGACTGGAAAGACTTGTGACTTTTAAAGCAGTGACTTGGTCACACCTCTGTTACTGTCCAACCAAACCCAACTGAGAATTTAGTGAGAGTTGTGATCGGGGAGATGAGATATTTTTGCACCTGCAGAGACAAATGTGTAACAATGATGTTCCTAAAAATAAGGAAGTGGTTTCTGTTGCATCATAAACATTTGCTGAAACAATCCGGCAGCTACTGTGCACACAGAGCAAGAGCAGTTTCGTAACACAGGAAAACCAACGTCATACTTTACATGACAGTGCTGCATGTGTGTTTGTGTGTGTGTGTGTGTGTATTTGTGGTGAAGCTAATGCAAACAGCAGATTTTGATGTTATCAGCAGATGCTGGGCAAACGTTTGATCTCCTTTCCACTCATCTCTGAACACCCTGGGTTGGGTGATCAGGCTGTGTGAAGCTGCCCCACTTTTCTCTCTCGCCACGTCTGCAGATGTTTTTTGCTTTTTGTTGCTCGGAAAATGAAAAAAAAAAAAAGTACAAATTTGAATCAATAAAACCAAACTTTGCCAGAATGGGATGATGGTTTTTGGTGTTTTTGCCTATGGTTTTTGCCCATAGCTGTTATTCGCTGATGAACTTTCTGGTCTTCTTCTAAAGGACCCCATGATACCTCGTCACCCCACAGAAACTTTACTTAAAAAAGAAAATTCCTGCGTTTATGATCTTAGTGGTGCATTAAAGCACGGCATACTTTAATATTTTAAGGTTTGATGTGCAAAAGGGGGTGCTAGATGGGTGCAAGCATATTCCCTGTCAGGATCCCTCCGAGGCGGCCTCTCGTACATTTTCCCACGAGGGGTGCAAAAAGTTCTATGTATCCTACAAGGGCATCAATAATAATAGTAATAATAATAGTTGCACCAACTTTAATGTCAAACACTCGTTTGCAGTAACACGTTATATATAAACTTTTAAGTCCTAATGAATTTGACATCAGTAGATTATTTATGTAGGGGGGCGCGCCCCACCAATTGAGAACCACTGGTATAAGACACTTAAAACGGGCTGGATAAAACTGATCTTTGTTTCTCCAAACTGAGGCTGTCTCGTGCACTATTATTTATACTTTTTTCACAAATACCTTCTACAATATCTAAACTGTCTTTTTAAACAGACATTTTCAAACATTTATCTGTTTTTCCCATGTGATCTGGGATTTTCAAAATAAAACCTGCAAAAAAAGAAGCAAAAATTTCCTGGTAAGCTTTATGGAAATAATTCAATGTGTGTTTTATAAAAGTGAGCAACGGTATTTGTTTCATTGCAGAGGCACACACTCTCTCTTTCAGCATGAGTTTGAACAGGAATTATTTGTCTAATTTCCTCTCCTGTTTTGTCATATTTATGGACGAGGTGGAGAGGCGTGGGAGGGTGATATTCCACTTGTTACTGGGCAAAAGGTAGGGGTGCACAAGGTTCACCAGGGGGTAAAAATATCCTTTTAGCAGCATAGTGGCAATGTGTTCGATACTAAGAATAGAGCAACAATTTGTTGTCGTGGTTGATGTTTGCACAACAATAAAATAACAGTGAATGGTAAACTCTGATCGAAATATAGAATTTTATTGTTTCCACTTAAAAAACAGCTTGGAGGAGTGTGAGGAGCTACTTTTATACACACGCCCACACGTTTCCCCTTGTTTTAGTTAACCTTTTACTGACCATGCATGCCCTTTGATCTGCAGCGACTTCCTCTCAACTTTTTAATGTCCTCACTCAAAACAAGCTAGAAATCTATGTTTGCATGAACATTTGCAGAAATATGAAGACCAAATTACTTGTAAAACGTTATTTTATGCTAAAAATATATGACTGCATCATTAAAAACAACAGAATAGTACAATAAGTGAGTTCCACAAAGAAACACATGAGCGGGGAATGAAAGGGTTAAAGAAGCTGTGATCTCTGCAGGTGACACAGGAAACACATTGTTTATGTGAGAAAGACATACGGCAACAGCGTATAATCACCTTCTCTCATGAGAGTGCACATCAAAGTGTGTAATGATGATTGCATATTTTACCCTGAGTCATTACTCTTCATTATTCTTCTATTATTCATCACTCATTCATTATTCTGGCTGTTCTTCCAACTGCAGTGATGTCTGTCGGTCGCCTCCACAGAAACCAAGAAAAGTCTTCATGCCAGTAAAATAACGAGGTCAGGTTTGTGTGTCAGCATTCGCTCTTCAAAGATGCAGATCTTTGCTTTGACTCACTGGAACAAAAGCAAAAAATAAGCATATTTCCAATGATTTGGTGTCCGGCTGTGTGAGGATGGAGCTCTAGGGGGCGACATCTGCCCGACAGATGAAGGTCAGTGGAAAGTCTCACATGACTGGACTATAAGACAAATTTATCTGGCTATTTACACATTATTACATGATAGGATGGGACATTTTCATCCCTTGGTCAGTTTGACCGAGCACAACAACCCTTGTTATAATCTTTTCACTGAGCCAAACTTTCTTTGTATCTTTTATTTAAACTTTTCTAAAATATCTTTTTAATTACGTATGGCTGCGTTTTCACTCATGTTTGGCCCAGTCCTTGCACCATTAAGGCCTCCAGGCAAAGAATGCTGCTGTGTCCTTGGGCTTAACTCGTCTTGTCTGTTGGTCTGTGGCGCCCCCAAGGGGTTGCCTGGAGTGCCCATGGCAACCCCTAGAAAATTGCTGGCCACCCCACTGACCACACAAGACCACTGTTCTTTAACTCATTCACTGCCAGCCGTTTCCTGATCGCTGAAGGCCTTCGCTGCCAGCGTTTCTCACAGTTTTTACAGTTTTTTTTAAGAGTGACAGAACATTGCATGCTAGGATGATGTAGACACCAAAACAACCAAAACAAAGAGGAGACTCACCTCTAACATCAGGAAGAATCCGCGTGTTTCGAGCTTTATCCATTCTTTCATAATCTGTTGTCGAATTGTGATCAGCAGAAGCTTTCCGGATCGCGCCTCACTTTTTTTTTTTACAGGAACGGCCCAAAACGATCTCCTAACACATGGATTTTCTGCTTCCTGGTCACGTGACGTGACATATGCGAATGAAGATCGGCTTCAGAGCTGAGATGCTTCAGAGCTGAGATGTTTGTTCTCTCGGCGCGGGGGCTCGTTCCGATGCCCACACAGTAAAAAATGCAAATGACAATTTTAGTCGTCATTGATAAGTAATATTCATGTTCACAGAAATCGTTAATTTATTAATTTTTTTATTGAAAATAAATAAAGGAGCATTTATTGCATCAATACAGGCTTAACGTTCCCAACGTTACCACGAGGATCAATTTGGTGTGCCACCCAAACATTTACTCTGGCTCCATGGCCACCCCAAGAAACTTTTCTGGGGGAGCCACTGCTGCTGGCGGTGGTTGGAGGGCCCGGTAGCTCCGGTATTCGGCAGTCTCGCTCCCGTCAGTGTGTCCCAGGAAACTATGTAGATCTTCATCACCAGTGTGTGAATGGGTGAATGACTGATTGCACTGTAAAGCACTTTAGGGGGTTGTAAAACCCGAAGAAGAAGAAGAAGAAGAAGAAGAAGAAGAAGAAGAAGAAGAAGAAGAAGAAGAAGAAGAAGAAGAAAATATAATTTCTACAGCGCCTCTCAAGATAAAAATCACGAGGCTAGGGATGGGTACCTTTGACATTTGAATCGATCCGGTACTCATTCCCGGTACCTACGAATCGATACCGGTACATAACGGTACCAATTTTTGATACTTTTGAGTGTTTAATATTTTAATTCTCTTTTATAATTAAATATATATAGTTTTCTCAATATATAACCATATTTGATAAATATCACGATAAATAACATACAACTGTTTGTATCAGACACGTGAAAAGAGAGTTACAGTAGTCTAAGCATGAGGAGATGAAGGTGTGGACAACTGTCTCAAGTTCAGAGCGGGACAGAATGGGACTCAGCTTAGCAATGTTCCTGAGATGGAAGAAGGAAGAGCGAACAAGAGAACTGACATGAGAATCCA